ACCCCAATGAGTCCATTTTGAAGAAACTCAGTATAACAAGAGGAAGTGGTTTGGAGGAAGAAGGTTTTGTCTGCTGAGAGCTGGGTGCAGTCATCTGTGGGCATAGGCATTTGATGTTTATCAGAGCTGACTCTATGCACCAGTGATTTTATGGCAACCACTGTGTTTTTCTCTTTCTTATTGATCTGAATAGACTGGAGTTAATTATGAATAAACAACATTTATTTTATTAATGCTGTGTTGTGTTGATGATGGTTTGTAATTACAGCCTTTTCCTCTGAACCTTTGAGAACTCTGGTTTGTGAAGAGTCAGAGTTATCCTTACCATATAGACCAGTAGTGGTGAACTGTTTAGAGATTTCAGTGGTACAAACAGCTCGCTGCAGCCAGTGGGCCATAGGTTCACCACCACTCTAGGTGGTGATAAAACTTGCCAGTGTAAGCCATTGTAAATGGCTTACCAGTTTAGATGTTTGTTTCCTTTGTATTTTTCATGAATATTAATAGACTGAATTGGTTGGAAAGGATGAATAGGGTGAAGAGGAAGGATGAGAAGACTACAAAGAGTGGATTTGATACCATAACTGTCTTAAATTCCAAAGTTACTTAAGCTCTGGTTGGTATAAATGTTTTATTATTCATTCTCCATCTTTACCCTGCAGATTTCAGAGATAGTGATTACTCTAGTTCTTTTTAAGATACCATGGGGAAATATAACAACGTAAGTAAAATAAAGGCTGTATAACACTTTGAAGTGCTGAGAAGGAAAAGTACATGAATTTAAGCTGGCAGCATTGAGTTACAATGCCCTGGGAGAAAGAAACATAATGTTCACCATTGGCTGCTCATGGCACATTTTATCCCTCAGGGTTTTGTACTATCATAAAATAAGGGGAAGAATATATTAGAGGATTACCATTTTTTACTTGTGCCTGCTTAATGCCAAGTCACAAAATTGTAATGTCACTACCAGAATTATTACCCAATGTATGAATCCCTATAAAGTGATTTAGTCCATGTCTTGGTTACTTTTTCATTTCTGGGACAAAATACCTGATATCCACAAGTTAAAGGAGGAAAAGCTATAGCTCATAGTTTGTAGATGGCATAGGGTTTCAAGTTTCTAAGGTTCCAAACATTGGTCAGCTGATACCAAAGCATGGGAGAGGAAAAACAGTCCATGGCTGGGCAGGCAAAAAGCAGAGAGCCTCCCTTTCCTTTCTTATTCCATTTAGGATATAAGTCCATTGTTTGGTACCTCCCACACTCAGGGCAGGGCTTTTTATCATCCACACCCAAAACTATGCTAAACCAATCAGTGGACTAATCGATTTATCACACTCATGAGCCAGCCACTTCCAAAAGCCCTGCCTGTGGAAGATGTGAGATTTTGGGGAGCACATCCAGGTATATGTCATAATAGTATGCTTGCATATCTGTTGTTGACCCACAAAAAACTTGAGCATGTATAGATTTCATAACATTAAGTATGTGTTTATCAATTACAAAAGGAATGCGTGTTTATTTTTTGAAATCTTAGTATGACAGTATTAGAATGTGAAAACACAACCACAAAAACCTTTCTGTATGTCCCTCTCCTTTCATACACTCTGTGGTAACTCATCAAGTATGTTTTTATGTAAAAAGATGTTTAAAATAGAGAATATCAAAAATAACATTTCAAAAATTCAGGATAAGACTTGTAAAAAGTACTGGCAAAGAGTTTTAAGCGGGTAGGAGCTAAAAGTTTAAGAAAGATTCTAAAAGAATTCTAGGAATTTGGAAAGCAATTCTGGGACTTGAAGGATCTTTCTTCCTTTCTTTTTTGATACTGGAATTGAACTCAGGACCTCACACTTGCCAGAGAGGTGTTGTGCCACTGAGTTTAGTATCCAGCCCCTTCATTTCTCATAGAAATGTCAGTATGACTCAAAGTTGAGAGTCATCTGAACCCCTTTGAAAGCCAGTCACCTGGACAGTAATTTTTATGAAATATGCTCTAATAATTCTTTTTCCTGGTTTGGGGAATTAAATCCAGGGCTCTGTGAATGCTAGGCAGGTGCACTACAATAAGTGAGCTACATTCCAACAACATGTCTCAGATAGGTTGGTATAATAATATGTGGTGCATAAATGGAAGGCTCTAAAATGGAAGGAATGACATTGTCTTTTTCCTTTTTATCGGTACCAGGGATCGAACTCACGACTGCCTGCTTGCAAGGCACACACTTATGCCGCTGAGCTAAATCCCCAGCCCCAGGAATGGCATTGTCATTACTACTTTCTCATTGCTGGACAAAACCCACAATTTAAAGGAGGAGAGGTTTATTTTGGCTCACAGTTTATAGCGGTTTCAGTCCATAGTTGGCTGGCTCCGAGGAAGGGTGGTGTGCTGCAGAGGGACCTGGCAGGCAGAAGCAGTGAGACGTCCCTCCTTTCCCTTTTTATCCCATCCAGGCTATGAGCCTATTGGTTGATGCTGACCACACCCAGAGTGGGTCTTCCCTCTTCAGTAAATCTGTTATCTACACCCTGAATCTGTTATCTACACCCTGCCTGTGTTATACCAGGCAGTGGACTAATCCAGTATCACACCCATGATCCAGTCACCTTTCAAAAGCCCCTGAGAGTGGGGAGCATCTAGATATAAATAATAATGGGTAGCTACTCAGTTAGTTTCTGTGGGAAAATGCTGATACAACTGGCTGTTTTGTTTTGTTGAGATAGGGTCTCCCTGGTTTTGTTGAGGTAGGATCTCCCTATAGTCCAGGCTGACCTCAAACTCAAAGCAAATCCTCCTGCCTCCTGAGTGCTGAGATTATAGGCATTTACCATCATGCCCAGCCACAACTTGTTCTTTGTTCCTTTGGATCCTGCATCCAGAATTCAAACACAGATGGAAAATATTTGAAAAGAAATTGTCTAAGAGAACCTGTATACTTTTGCATGTTGTTATTCCCCAAACAATGTAGTATAACTATGACTTGCACAGCATTCACACTACAGTGTCGTAAGTACTCAGAAGACGACTTTGGTCCATGAGACATGTCTTGGTAATCATGATAAAACCATTCTGATTTTATACATATGAGGGAATTGTACAGCTCCACATTTGGGTATCCACAAAGGCTCCAGTTACCACAGACACCAGAACCCACTTTGCCGTACTTTGCTGTCATTAAAGGACCAGCCCATTTTGGTTCACTAATAAAAACTTTAATCTTAAGACTTGATATTTTCTTTAACAAGTCACAGCTGTGGTGTATGATATTCTGTTATACTATGGCTTGTGTCTGCCTGTCCCCCAAAGGCTCATGTGGTTATAGGTGGGAGTTTTTCAGAGGTGGCTGAATCCGTAGTGTGTGATGCTGGGATCAAGAGTGTGTGATTGCTAAATCAGACCCCTGACTGGGTTAGCACTGTCCTAATCCCAACAGTCTAGGTAAGATAAAAGGGGAGAAAGGTGCTGTGGAAGGCCTCTTTTGCTTTTGCTGCCTTGTGGGTGCCATGGACTGTCCTTTCCAGCATCCCTCTGCCTTGGGGAACCTCTATGTACCCTGAGCCAAATAAACCTTTGCCCCTCTAACTCTGGGTATCAGGTATTTTGTGTCAGCTGTGAGAGAAAAGTAACTTAGGCACTTACCAAGCAGATACGTAGTTACCAGTTCATTCACTCAGACTTAATTTTGCTCCTAAAGTGTGTCTTTTCCTTTGCTGGACTGATTTGCATTTCATTTGTTTGGTCTTTGTAGATTCAAAGAAAAAAGCAGAGGATGCTGTTGCTAGGAGTTAAAACTGGTCTTTAAAGTGAAGTAGAGAAGTATTAGGGGTTTAATGTTAATTATTTGTGTTTCCAAGGGGAATTCTGTTTTCAGGCAGTGTGGGCAGCATTCCTGCTTACAGGATCGGACTGAACAAGCTGAATTGTGCTTACAGCATTTTATTATATTAAGATTAAAATGGGGTGTTCTCCTTCTACCACAAAACAAATTTTATTTGGGAATATATATTATATATATTAATTGGGATAAAATAAAGGAAGTATGATGTATGTTAATAGGTAAAAGATGCCAATGATACATGTCGAAGTAATAAGTGGTTCCACTGTGGACTTTTGCTGGGGAGACTAGTTTTCTACATAAAATTAACATAACTCAAGATTCATAGTTTTCAATTCTGATTTACTGACCATTATTTCTAAACTTCGGTTTTGTTATTGTAAAAGTTTTCCTAAAGTACTAAATTTACTGCCAGTCTTAATTCAAAGTATTCTGTGACTGATGGAGGATGAACAGTATTTATGGGCGGGTATCTGGAAGAAATTTGTAAGGAATGAAGGAGTAGTATAATTTTTTTTTTGTCTTTTTCCTTTTTATTGGTACTGGGGATCGAACTCACGACTGCCTGTTTGCAAGGTGGGTGCTTATGCCACTGAGCTAAACCTCCAGCCCCGATTAGTATAATTTTTTTGTTGTCAAAAAGAGTCAAGTAATCAATAATGAGTACAAAGTGAAGGTTCGGTGGAGCTCAGAGCGAGGGTTCACCCCAATGTGTCCATCAGCGGCGTAGGAAAGGGTGGCTTCCTTTTGAGCTTCTGCAGCCTTTCTCCATCTGCCACATTACATTGGAGATGTCCAGTGTTCATTCAGCTTCGGGGTTTGTTTTTTTTTATTAAAAAACAAAACAAAAAAGCATAGAGATAATACAGGATTTCAAAAAATAACAGTAAGAAATCACTAGTTGACAAATTACATATTGTTATCTTGGAAGCAGTTGTTCAAGTTTCAAAATCAGCATAAAAAGTGGACAGACAAACAATGACAGTACAAACTATTCTGTTTGATAAATTCAGCTTCGGTTTTTTGAGAGAGTTCAAGCTGTTCTTGAGCTCATTATGTAGCTCAGGCTGGCCTGGAACTTGAAGTGATCCTTCTGCCTCATTCTCCTGAGTGCTGGAATTATAGGCCATTCAGTGTACACCACCACATCTGACTTCACATGTTTTTGTGAATATCACCGTGTGCCTGGCCTGGTCCCAGGTGCAGTGGGGAGGAGCCCAGGAAGAAGGGGACCTAGTTTAATTTCAGTCTGAGCTAAAAAGCAGAAGTGAAAACCAGACTGGCAGGAGCAGCGTGGAATAGTATCTGCAGGCCGGGGCCTTTGGGAGAAAGGCCACACATGCGTGGCCATTGACACGAAGTCGCTGTTGCAAGGACTTAAGAGAAGAGGGTTCCATCCTGGGCAGAGGTCGTGGTGAGTGTGGGGTCCCCAGGCAGGAAGGAGATTGTGTCAGCAGTGTACACAGGAGCACATTTAGAAGACCAGGTTGAACCGGGCAGCCCATGCACTTGGGAGGCTGAGGCAGGAGGATTGCATTGATTCTGAGGCCAGCCTAGGCTGCATAGTGAGACTACTCCTGCCCCAAAAGCCAGCATGCTGGGGAACAGATTGCAGAGGAAGGGGTTCTCACAGCACAGGAGATTTTCAGCCCAGGAGCAACAAGATCTGTCACCTTCAGAAGATCCCATCATAGCCAGGCGTGATGGCTCACACCTGTAATCCCAGCACTCGGGAGGCTGAGGCAGGAGAATCGTTGCGAGTTTGAGACCAGCCTAGGCTACAAAGTGAGCTCAAGGCCAGCCTGAACTGCACAGCGAGACCCTGCTTAAAAAGACAAAAAAAAAAAAAAAAAAAAAAAAAGAAGATCTCATCAGCTGTTGTGTGGAGAACATGGTGGAGAGGGAAAAGTGGACAGCAGGAAGCCAGGAGGGAGGTGATGAGAGTGGCTGGAGGGAGATGGAAATGGCAGGCAGAGGGCCTTGGAGTTAGCTTTGGAAGCAGAGCTGGTGGCACTTGCTGAGGGGTTGCCTGTTTGGATGAGGGGTGGTGGAGGAGTCCTTGGCTTTTAGTCTGATCAGCTCTGTGGACGGCGGTGCCCTTTCCTGAAATGGGGCCGGGAGGTGAAGGAGTGGTGTGGGAGGAAAGATAACTTTCGGCCTTCTGCTAAATGGGATTTTGTTTTTTTAAAAAATTTTTCTTATGGGTCCACATTTGCAGTCCACCCCCGGTGGGGAGCTGGTGCCCATTGCCTTCCCCTCCCTCCACCACCATTCATCTCTTGGTCCTTGTCTTCATTACTTTTCTCTTTGCTAAGACAAATACCTGATGCCCAAAGTTAAAGGAGGGAAGGAATATGTCAGCTCATTTTGTAGAGTTCTCAGCCCATAATGGTCACCCTCTAAAGCAGGGTGACGGGGCAGAGAGGCACTGCACAGGGGAAAACAGTTCATGCGTGGAAGGCAGGAAGGAGCAGAGCTGTGAGCAGCAAGTGATGAGTGACAGCAGTGACCTTCTTCCTGTCCCTTGTATCTCATCCAGCCTACACACCCAGGATGGGGCACCCTTAGTCCCCCCCAGAACTAGGCCAAGCCAGGCAGTGGGCTGCTTTAGTAATCACACACCCTTCATCCCAGAGTCACTCACTCCAGATCCAGCCACCACAGAAAAGCCCCACCTATGACCACTTGAGAATTGGTGTGGGGGGGGGGGACTTCAGGACACAAACCCACAGCTCTCTTCCCATTGGCGAAAGACCTATCTCCTTGTGTCCTGTTGTTGATTGTTTTACTAAATGGGATTTTCTTGCTCTGCTCTCTGTTCCCCAGCATGCTGGCTTTTGGGGCAGGAGTAGTCTCACTATGCAGCCTAGGCTGGCCTCAGACTCAGTGCAATCCTCCTGCCTCAGCCTCCCAAGTGCATGGGCTGCCTGGTTCAACCTGGTCTTCTGAATGTGCTCCTGTGTACACTGTTGACGCAATCTCCTTTCCTAAGGAAAGTGAGGTTCAGAAAGGTTAAGCACAGGTCCTCAAGGGGAGTCAGGAGCGCACACTGGCTGCTCTGAACTGCGCTTTCTCCTGGGCTCCTGGTGAGGATTATACCAAGTGCCAGTCCAGGAGGAAGACTTCCTCAACAAAGGCAGCGGGCAGAAGTGGGGAGCCAACAGGGTGTGAGACATTTGGGGCAGTGATCGGGGACTTGTTGCTGGAGAGTTATTTGTGGGCCCTGTTAGGTAGGATCCTAGGGCAGCTAGGATTGTGTTTACTTCTTGGTGTCCCTAAGTTGAAATTCGCTCTGTTCTGAGAACTGTTTTTTTTTCATTAATACATATTGATTATACAAACTAATGGGATTTACTGTGATAGCTTAGGGCATCTAAGAGTTTAAATGAGAGCTTTTCTCCAGCTGAGACTGTTCACTAGGAATCAGATTTGATTTCTTTAATCAGATTGAAAAAGAGCACTCTAAATGATCTCATTCTTGGCAGTTGTTTTCCGTCAGTGGCACAGGTCCCAGCTGGCCCGCTCTCCCTGAGCTGTGGCTGGCACCCTTCCTGGGCTCAGCTGTCCAGAGCTGCACGAGCTCTGGAGCTCTGGAGTGTTACTGTGTCACAGACTTCACACTGCGGAGGATTTCTTTTATTCTTTATAGGAGAGCTTATTCTGTTTTTCCTGCTTCCTGCCCTGATACTCAGTCACCAGCTAGGACCAAACCGATGTCTTTCATATTGGGGCATACACATTCAGAGGAAGCAGCTGTGGAAATAATTTCTGCACATGAACTGACTGACAGCCGGATGTGTAGAGTTCTGTCAGCATCATGTTTAACACTTGCTGCACGTAGTGAGGCACTTGATTTGTGTCTTCTTTTGCTCGAGATGGGGTCTCCACATGGTGCTCAGGCTGCACTTGAACTCATGATCTTCTAGCCTCAGCCTCCCAAGTATAGTTGAGATTACAGGCATGTGCCACTGCACCCAGCTGACGTGGCTTTTGATGACAAACAGCACATTCCTCATTTATGAGCATTACCTAAGGATGCTAGGAATTTGTTTTTCTATTCAACTACCACCCCTACCCCATATTGAGTAGATAGCAATGTGAAACTCTTTTAAGTTGGGTTTCATTTCCCAACAGTGACAGGTGACTTTAATACATTTCCCACCATTGGCTGGGCATTTCCCTGCTGTCTAGTACAGCAGGGATTAGCTTTTCTCCAGGGAGCCCTGGTTCCTCTTGAGTAGTATTTTCTGGGGAGATCTGGATGGAAGGTACACTTATTACTGGGGTATGTGACCCTTAGAGATAGAGAATATGCATGTACATGTATATGCACATACATACACATAGAATATACAAAAATAAAAGTTTTATATTTATATACACTTTGAACAATTTGCATTTTTTTGAGACAGAGGCTTGCTATATAGTTCAGTTTGGCCTTGAATTCATTACTGGCCCCATTCATTCTAGCCCAGACTGGTTTAGAATTCATGGCAGTTCTCCTACCTCAGCCTCCAGAGTGCTGGGATTCCAGACATACACTACCACACTAGGTTTAACATTGCATTTTTTAAAGTTTTAATATATATATTTTGGGGGGGGGGGATACCGGGGATCAAACTCATGACTGCATGCTTGCAAGGCAGGTGCTGAGCTAAATCCCCGACCCTCAAAGTTATATTTTAATTTCCTTATATTTCTTTATATTTTTATATATTAAAGCCCATGAGTTCACACCAATACTTGCAGTGCCAATCTAGCACCCCAAGGCTCATTCTAGTTTTTCGCCTTCCATATGTGGCCCCCATCTTTCACAGGATTAGTTCAGCATTCATTGTTCTAGACTTCCCTCCTTATTAGCCATTCTTCTTGTGTGTAAGCATCCCTGTCTCCCTTGCACTCATACTGCCTTCCTCTCTCTGGTCTCCAACGCCTTGTTCCCAGCCACCTCCTTGTCTCCCAGGCAGGCTCTGCCCTTCCACATTGAGGCCGCTGTCCTCCTGCCTTAGGGTCTGGCATCCCTGCAGGCAGCCCTGTGCTGCATTGGGGTTCCAACAGCTGTGCCTGCCATGTACATCTTCTGCAGTGTGAAGCCTGAGACTTAAGAGGTACGGGTCCTAAGGAAGACTGAAATCAGATCTGTGCCTGACACACTCTGATGAAACTGCAGAACTCCAATAGCAAAACTCCTTGAAATTCCCAAGGAAAGGAGGATTATATACAGGGGAAGAACAATTAGATCCATGCAAGGTGAGTTGACAGAGGCCAGAGGCAAAGAAAATCTTCAAAGTTCTAAGGGAAAATGCCAAGCAACTTGGGAGTCTCTAGCCAAGTAAATGAGCAATTTCAGGAAAACAAAGATTGAGAAGCTAAAAGATCCTTTCTAAAGCTCTCTCAAGGAATAATGAAACTGAACACATCAGTAAATAAGAGGTCTGAAGAATGGAGAGCAAAAAGTTAGAAAACTTGCAGAATTTAGGAGACAATTTCTATATAAAATAATAGTCATGATAATTTGATAGTTCTAAAAATAATGATGGATACGGGAATATGACAATTAAAAACTAGATTAAAGAATTACAAAAGAAATACAGAGATAATACCTTCTTAATTGTGACTGACGTATTCTAAAACTTATTACTCTTCCCGTAGCCGAGTATAGAAGCTAACTTTATAGTCCAAGACAAGTAAGAATGTCTTGGGATGTCAAGGGCAAAGCATTGAAGTGTGGGGGGAAAATGTATACCTGAAATCCGATAGAAATAAAAGGGCTATTACAATTAAGCAGGATCGTCGGCTTGATCGGCTTGAGAGCCACCTGAAGGATTAGTACAGCATGCATCTGGGTTATCTGTGGGGTCGTGGAGGCAGACGTGGATCCGTACTTAGCCCTTGGCCCCTTGACCCCAGCCACTTTTTCTCTGCTGTGCTTCCTGGTCACCATGACCTAAGCAGCAGTGCTCCACCAGCCCCTCCCGCCATGATGTTCCTGTCGTGGAGCCAGCTTACCATGGATTGAATGCCCTGAAACCACAAACCAAATAAGGCTCTCACTTTAAATTGTGGATATTACACATTTTGTCTTTGCAAGAAGAAATCTAATATGTGGATATTTTTAAAAAGTCAAATTTTTAGAAAAAGGAGAAACAAAAGAAGCAAAGAAAACAGGCTAAATAGGAAGTCTACAATAAGCTGACAGATAACCAAATATATCTGAAATCACAATAAATATAAACAGATTAAACCCAGGTGTTAAAAGGACAGGAATGGCTGAGGGTGTGGTGAGACAGACTGAAGGTTTGCTGCCCAAAGACTCGCTGAAGGCACTACTCAGAGTCATGAGCAAAGTCTTACACAGAAGGAAGGAGAAAGAATACAGAAAAAATCCTGAATAAAGAACTTGGGAAATACATA